TCGCGGACCCCTGGGGTATTGTTCCCAACCATTATGTGATGCTGGGTTCTCGTTTTGAAGAGACAGTACCCCGCGTTCTTCACCTCACCTAACCTCACCTCCCGCGCTCCTCTCCCTCCTCCCTCCTCCCCCTCCTCGCCTCTGCTCTTCGCATGTTTCTGTTTCTCGCCGCACGCCTCACACGTTTCGTGGTCCCATAGGCCCATATGGGGGCCCCACCGAAGGCCCAAGTGGCAAGGTTCGCATGTCGCCACCGCGCCCATGTCGGCACAACCCTCACACGCTTCGTGGCCCCATAAAGATCTCCACCGAAGGCCCCCGTGGCACGGTTCGCATGCGCCCCCGCGCCCATGTTGACACATTTCTCACACGCTTCGTGGCCCTATAGGGAGCGCCGCCGAAGGCCCCCGTGGCACGGTTCGCATGCGTCCCCCCCGCCCATTTCGGCACACCCCTCACACGTTTCTCGGCCCGATAGGGAGCGTTACCGAAGGCCCCAATGACAGGGTTCGCCTGCCTCCCCCGCCCATTTCGGCATATCCCTCACATGACTCGTGGCCCCATACGGAGCTTCTCGGGAGGTACCAGTGGCAGGGCTCGTATGCGCCCCCCGCCCATTTCGGCACACCTCTCACGCGCTTCGGGGCCCCATAGTGAACTCCACCGAAGCCCCAGTGGCAGGGTTCGCATGGCGCCACCGCACCCATGTCGGCACAACCCTCACACGCTTCGTGGCCCCATAGGGAGCTCCACCGAAGGCCCCCGTGGCACGTTTCGCATGCACCCCCCCGCCGCCCATTTCGTGGCCCCATAGGGAGCTGCACCGAAGGCCCCAATGGCAGGGTTCGCATGCGTTCCCCCGCTCATTTCGGCACACACCTCACACGTTTCGTGGCCCCATAGGGAGCTCCACCTGAGGCCCCACTGGCAGGGTTCGCATGTGTTCCCCCATTCATTTCGGGACACCCATCACACGTTTCGTGGCCTCATAGGGAGGCACACCGAAGGCCACAGCGGCAGGGTTCGCATGCGTCCCCGCGCTCATTTCGGCACACCCCTCACACGCTTCGTGGCCCCATAGTGAGCTCCACCGAAGGCCCCAGCGGCAGGGTTCGCATGCGTCCCCCGCCCACGCTAACACGCTTCGTGGCCCCAGATGGAGCTCCACCGAATGCCCCAGTGGCAGGGCTCGCATGCGCCCCCCCGTCCATTTCGGCATGCCTCTCACACGCTTCGTGGCCCCATAGGGAGTTTCACCGACGGCCCCAGTGGCAGGGTTCGCATGCGTCCCCCCTCCCATTTCGGCACACCCCTCTCACGCTTCGTGGCCCCATAGGGAGCTCCACCGAAGGCCCCAGCGGCACGGTTCGCATGCGTCCCCCCGCCCATTTCGGCACGCCCTTCACGCGCTTCGCACTGAGCCACCGCACCCATTTCGGCACACACCTCACATGTTTCGTGGCCCCATAGGGAGTTCCACCAGCGGCCCCGTGGCAGGGTTCGCATGGCACAACCGCGCTCATTTCGACACACCCCTCACACGTTTCGTGGCCCCATCGGGAGCTCCACCGAAGGCCCCCGTGGCACGGTTCGCATGCGTTCCCCCGCCCAGTTCGGCACACCGCACACCCATCACACGCTTCGTGGCCCCATAGGGAGGCACACCGAAGGCCACAGCGGCAGGGTTCGCATGGCGCCACCGCTCTCATTTTGGCACCCTCTCTCACGCGTTTCTTGGCCACATAGGAGCTGAAACCATTGCCCCCGTGGCAGGCTTCGCATGGCGCCACCGCGCTCATTTCGGCACATCTCTCACACGCTTCGTGGCCCCACATAGAGCTCCACCGAAGGCCCCAGTGGCAAGATTCGCATGGCGCCACCGCGCCCATGTCGGCACACCACTCATACGCTTCGTGGCCCCACAGGGAGTCCTACCGAAGGCCCAAGCGGCAGGGTTCGCATGGCGCCACCGCACCCATGTCGGCACACCCCTCAAGCGTTTCGTGGCTCCACAGGGAGCGCCACCGAAGGTGGGGCTTACAACTGCGGTACTCACAATTGCATATTGTTGGGCCCTTCCCCAGGACCATTTCATATGTCCCAACCATTATGTGGTGTTGGGTCTTCGTTCTGAAGAGACGGTCCCCGCGTTCCTCCCTCCTTCCTCCCTCCTCCCTCACCCTCCTCCCTCCTCCCCCGCCTCCTTCCTTCCTGCGTTTTACCCACCCAGTACAGCGCTTCGTGGCCCCATAGGGATCGCCACCGAAGGCTACCGTGGCACGGTTCGCATGCGCCCCCCCGCCCATTTCGGCACACCCGTCACGCGCTTCGTGGCCCCAATAGGGAGCTCCACCGAAGGCCCCCGTGACACGGTTTGCATGCGTCCCCACGCCCATATTGGCGCACCCCTCACACGGTTCGCGGCCTCACAGGGAGCTCCACCGAAGGCCCCAGTGGCAGGGTTCGCATGGCGTCCCCCCGCCCATTTCGGCGTATTTTTCTTACGGTTCGTGGCCCCATAGGGGGCCCCACCGAAGGCCTCAGTGACAGGGTGCGTATGGAGGCCCCGCCCATATTGGCGCACCTTACGGTTCGTGGCCCCATAGGGGGCTCCACCGAAGGCCCCAGTGGCAGGGTTCGCATGGCGGCCCCGCCTTATTTTGGCGCACCCCTCACACGGTTCGTGGCCCCATTGGGAATTCCTTTTGCTTCGTCCCACCTGCCTTGCGGTTCTCACACTTGCGTATGGTTGGGTCCATCGCCAGGACGGTTTGTTTCTGCAGGGTCGTCCGTCCTAAACACCACATCGTATATTCACCAGCTATCACCCCCCGTTGCCTTTACCAAAGGATACAGTGTGCGAGCACCCATTTATAGCAAAGCATCGTTTGCAATAGCACCTTGCAGAACGTGGCATAACGTCCACGATCGGGCGCACATGTCAACATCATACCGAACACATTAGTTGTACAAGCGCTTCAGCATGGAAGCCTCAAACACACATAGGGCGTCACACATATTGCAGATGTTCTGCCCGCGCGCACGTGCTGAAATCGCACAGAAACCATAGGATGGCAGCAATTCCGTTCCACCTGCATTTTCAGCGTTATTCGGTGCATCCGCGTTGATCCAGCATGCGCGCAGCGCGCGAACCCATATCAAGGAATATCATGCGGGCTTCACGCAGCACACGCCGCCACGCGCGAGTGTTGAAACGAGCTGGAAACCATCGGTTTCGACACAATTCAAGATGGAATTCCTCACTCACATCGGACAGTCCGATCGTTTTCCAACAGGCATCTGCCAGGTTTATTGGATTTCTGCGCGCGCGCACTTCTTCACTATCACCCTTACCAGCGCCACGGCGTCACTTATGTTATCGTCTTCGTCAATCGCCGCCATTGCCGTCATCACCAAAATCATTCGAATTATCGACGCATGGACAACATTCTCATCGTCGCCACCAGCATCGGTGTCGTTATTGGTTTTGCTTTCGTCATCGTTATTATCGCCACCGCCATCTGTACTACCATCATCGTTGTCGCCTTCGTCGACGTCATTATATTTTCGCGCCCGCCCGAGCCACTGGCGCCCGGACTGGCGCCCGGACTGAAGCGCCCGCGCGCCAGCGTGGCCTTTGAGACTTGCTAGGAAGTTTCCACTGGTAGGCGCCATCGAGCGCAGTCGCGCAGATGCGACAGCCATCGTCGAGCAGGCATCACAATCGCGGCCGCATCGATTTTGAAAAATAAGGTGCGCGTGGCAGGGTGGGATGTTTGCGCAAGCAGTGGAGTTGGCAATTCATTATTTGCGAATGTTAGACAAGTGTACCACATAGAATGCACGTCGGGAGTGTAAAATCCCATCGTCCTGGTCCCACGCCTCAGTTTTGCAGTCCAGCAGTCGATATTGCAATCTGATTTTTCGACACCCAGTCCGTCTTACGCCCAAAAAGCCGATGCCATTGTCGTTTCATCGTTCGCAATCAAGGAATGAGAGGCGCCCGCCAGACGCTTACACCCACCCACACACAGAAGGTCTTCACCAAGGTTCGGGCCTACATCAATGACCAAGGGACCCCGTTACAGTCGGGGCCCTGAAGAAGGAACCCTTTTCGTTGGGGAGGGGCTCCGCGTTCCTTAAGTGTTTCACAGTTTGCCTTGGGTTTCCCTTATGCTTTCGATAAGAAATCGAAGTTCAACTTATGGAAAAAAGGGGCCTCGTTCCCTATTTAGGGTTCCTTAGGTCAAGGCCCCGACTGTATCTCTTGACCACCCTGTTTTTTGGGAGACCATGCAGTGCAAGTGCATGTTGGACGACATATACTCAGCGAAGCAGCAGTCGCCAGGGGCATAGCGAAGCAGCAGTCGCCAAGGGAGTTTTGGCAACGGACGTTGTCCCCAATGTTTTCCCAATGGTTTCCACATCGGTGGAGGGACCACATGAGGACAGAATACGGCTTTCATGAGTTCAAGAAGATAGATTTGCAGTAGTGGCGCAGCTGCCTGGACAGCAGAAACGGAACAGGACTGGAGATAGAGTAGACAGTAGATACGACACAGGACATTTGAGAGAAGACGAACAGCAGCACCGCATCAGCAGTCCAGTACCATCTCTCTCTCCCTCAGCCTCGTGCCTCCAGAGGGCCAGCGGCTTTGTATCGGCATCCTGACCAGTACTGTGAGCAGCATTTCGACTAGTTCTGCTTCAAGCGCGACAGGGTCGTCGTCCCTCACTACGATGTCCACATTGACTGCGACCACCGTGACCACTGCCACTACGACCATGACGAGCAGCACCGGGACTTCCAGCTCGAAAACGACATTCACTCAGGCGCCCACCTACTCGCAGCTGTCGCCGGGCCAAGCGTGCGCTCAGTTCGGGCTCGCCGAGGTGTCCACATCGACGGAGTGCTTCGGCCTGGCCGCCGGCTCCGCGGGGCTGACGGGCAAGACCATGGTTGACCTAACCGCCAGCGGGACCAATCTTTATGGCTGTGTCTACAACGCAGGGACAGACTTGGTGATGTTTGCTTCCGATGGGTCCCCCAGCACAGTGAACAGTGCCTGGCAGCACATCTGTCGTGGCGAGACCACGACAACCACCACTCCTACGTCCAGCAGTGCCACAAGTAGCGATAGTACCACGTTAAGCGTGACGTCCGAGAGCAGCTCGGTAACGAAAACCGTCTCTCTTACGAGTAGCACCGCCATGAGTTCCGAAACGGAGACTTCTTCTTCGACTAGCACCACCACGCTGACCTCAACGTCAGAAACAAGCACCACCACAATGACAAGCACGACTGTCACCAGCGCTACAACGGTGAGCACCATGACTGAGACCAGCTTGACCAAGACCAGCTCGGCCACAACCAGCACCACGGGGAGTTCCACGACGGAATCTGGCACCAGCACCGCCTCGCTCACTAGCAGCAGGACGTGGACTTCTTCGACTACCACTCCGTTGTCCAGCACTACGTCGGAGAGCTCCACGAATGAGACAAGCACCATGAGCCTCACAAGCGCCACTGTTAGTAGCAGCACCACTCTCGCATCAACAAGTCAGACCAGCTCAGCTACAAGCATTATCACGATGACCTCAGAGACTGACAGCAGCTCGCTGACAATCACTGGCGCAACAAGCACCAGCGCGAGCAGCAGCACTACGGAGAGCTCCATGACGTTAACGAGCTCTACGGAGTCCAGCACCACCAGTCGTACAGCCACTTATGCCAGCAGCACCAGTCTGACTAGCAGTGCTACGCTGACCTCAACGACAGAAACGAGCACCATCAAAGTGACCAGCACGACTCCCACCAGCAGCACGACGATGGGAACCACGACTGCGACTAGCACCGCCTCGCTCACTAGCAGCAGGACGTGGACTTCTTCGACTTCGACCACTCCATTCTCCAGCACTGCGTCGGAGAGCTCCACGAGTGAGACAAGCACCGCAAGTCTCACAAGCGCCACTGTTAGTAGCAGCACCACTCTGGCATCGACAAGTGTGACCAGCTCTGCGCTGATTTCAGCTACTGGCAGCAGCTCGCTGACAATCACCAGCGCAACAAGCACCAGCGCGAGCAGCAGCACTACGGCGAGCTCCATGACGTTAACGACCTTCACGGAGTCCAGCACCACCAGTCGTACAGCCACATACGCCAGCAGCACCAGTCTGACTAGCAGTGTTACGTTGACCTCAACGACAGAAACGAGCACCACCGCAGTGACCAGCACGACTGCCACCAGCAGCACGACGATGGGAACCACGACTGCGACCAGCACCGCCTCGCTCACTAGCAGCAGGACGTGGACTTCTTCGACTTCGACGACTCCATTGTCCAGCACTACGTCGGAAAGCTCCACGAGTGAGACAAGCACCGCAAGTCTCACAAGCGCCACTGTTAGTAGCAGCACCACTCTGGCATCGACAAGTGTGACCAGCTCTGCGCTGATTTCAGCTACTGGCAGCAGCTCGCTGACAATCACCAGCGCAACAAGCACCAGCGCGAGCAGCAGCACTACGGAGAGCTCCATGACGTTAACGAGCTCTACGGAGTCCAGCACCACCAGTCGTACAGCCACATATGCCAGCGGCACCAGTCAGACAAGCACCACCACGTTGACCTCAACGACAGAAACGAGCACCATCACAGTGACCAGCACGACTCCCACCAGCAGCACGACGATGGGAACCACGAGTGCGACCAGCACCGCCTCGCTCACTAGCAGCAGGACGTGGACTTCTTCGACTACCACTCCGTTGTCCAGCACTACGTCGGAGAGCTCCACGAATGAGACACGCACCACGAGCCTCACAAGCGCCACTGTTAGTAGCAGCACCACTCTCGCATCAACAAGTCAGACCAGCTCAGCTACAATCATTTTCACGATGACCTCAGAGACTGACAGCAGCTCGCTGACAATCACTGGCGCAACAAGCACCAGCGCGAACAGCAGCACTACGGAGAGCTCCATGACGTTAACGAGTTCTACGGAGTCCAGCACCACCAGTCGTACAGCCACTTATGCCAGCAGCACCAGTCTGACTAGCAGTGCTACGCTGACCTCAACGACAGAAACGAGCACCATCACAGTGACCAGCACGACTCCCACCAGCAGCACGACGATGGGAACCACGACTGCGACTAGCACCGCCTCGCTCACTAGCAGCAGGACGTGGACTTCTTCGACTTCGGCCACTCCATTCTCCAGCACTGCGTCGGAGAGCTCCACGAGTGAGACAAGCACCGCAAGTCTCACAAGCGCCACTGTTAGTAGCAGCACCACTCTGGCATCGACAAGTGTGACCAGCTCTGCGCTGATTTCAGCTACTGGCAGCAGCTCGCTGACAATCACCAGCGCAACAAGCACCAGCGCGAGCAGCAGCACTACGGAGAGCTCCATGACGTTAACGACCTTCACTGAGTCCAGCACCACCAGTCGTACATCCACATATGCCAGCAGCACCAGTCTGACTAGCAGTGTTACGTTGACCTCAACGACAGAAACGAGCACCACCGCAGTGACCAGCACGACTGCCACCAGCAGCACGACGATGGGAACCACGACTGCGACCAGCACCGCCTCGCTCACTAGCAGCAGGACGTGGACTTCTTCGACTTCGACCACTCCATTGTCCAGCACTACGTCGGAAAGCTCCACGAGTGAGACAAGCACCGCAAGTCTCACAAGCGCCACTGTTAGTAGCAGCACCACTCAGGCATCGACAAGTGTGACCAGCTCTGCGCTGATTTCAGCTACTGGCAGCAGCTCGCTGACAATCACCAGCGCAACAGGCACCAGCGCGAGCAGCAGCACTACGGAGAGCTCCATGACGTTAACGAGCTCTACGGAGTCCAGCACCACCAGTCGTACAGCCACATATGCCAGCGGCACCAGTCAGACAAGCACCACCACGTTGACCTCAACGACAGAAGCGAGCACCATCACAGTGACCAGCACGACTCCCACCAGCAGCACGACGATGGGAACCACGAGTGCGACCAGCACCGCCTCGCTCACTAGCAGCAGGACGTGGACTTCTTCGACTTCGACCATTCCATTGTCCAGCACTACGTCGGAGAGCTCCACGAGTGAGACAAGCACCATGAGCCTCACAAGCGCCACTGTTAGTAGCAGCACCACTCTCGCATCAACAAGCGTGACCAGCTCTACGCTGATTTCAGCTACTGGCAGCAGCTCGCTGACAGTCACCAGCGCAACAAGCATCAGCGCGAGCAGCAGCACTACGGAGAGCTCCATGAAGTTAACGAGCTCTACGGAGTCCAGCACCACTAGTATTACAGTCACCTATGCCAGCAGCACCAGTCTGACAAGCACCACCACGTTGACCTCAACGACAGAAACGAGCACCATCACAGTGACCAGCACGACTCCCGCCAGCAGCACGACGATGGGAACCACGACTGCGACCAGCACCGCCTCGCTCACTAGCAGCAGGACGTGGACTTCTTCGACTTCGACCACTCCATTGTCCAGCACTGCGTCGGAGAGCTCCACGAGTGAGACAAGCACCATGAGCCTCACAAGCGCCACTGTTAGTAGCAGCACTACTTTTGCATCAACAAGTGCGACCAGCTCTGTTATCAGCACTACCACGCTGACCTCAAAGACTGGCACAAGTTCGGTTTCGAGCACCAGTGCGAGCAGCAGCACTACAGAGAGCTCTATGACGTTAACGACCTTCACGGAGTCCAGCACCACCAGTCGTACAGCCACCTATGCCAGCAGCACCAGTGAGACTAGCACCTCCACGCTGGCCTCAACGACAGAAACGAGCACCACCACAGTGACAAGCACGACTGCCACGAGCAGCACGACGATGAGCACCACGACCGCGACCAGCACCACCTCGCTCACTAGCAGCAGGACGTTGACTTCCTCGACTTCGACCACTTCTGCCTCCAGCACCACATCAGGGAGTTCCACGAGTGGGACCAGCACCATGAGCCTTACCAGCACCACCAGAAGTAGCAGCACCACTTTTGCATCGACAAGTGCGACCAGCTCTGTGACCAGCTCTACCACGCTGACCTCAAAGACCAGCACAAGTTCGTTGACGAGCACCAGCGTCAGCAGCATGACTCTGACGAGCGCCAGCACCAGCAGCACAACTGCCAGCAGCACGGCTTCGTGGACCTCCACGACTGGTTCGAGTTCTGGTACTACCAGCACCACACTCAGTTCCGCAACTGAGTCCAGCAGCACTTCTCAAAGTAGCACGATCTCGCTGAGCTCTGCGTCCTGGACCAGTTCTGGTACCAGCAGCACCACGCTCAGTGCCACAACTGTCTCCAGCAGCACAACGTTCACAAGAACCAGCGACAGCAGCAGCACGTCGCAAAGTTCCACGTCTGGGACCAGTTCTGGCACTACCAGTACCACGCTCAGTGCCACAACTGTCTCCAGCAGCACAACGCTCACAAAAACCAGCGACAGCAGCAGCACGTCGCAAAGTTCTGCGTCTGGGACTAGTTCTGGTACTAGCAGTACCACGCTCAGTGCCACAACTTTCTCCAGCAGCACAACGGTCACAAGCACCAGCGCAAGCAGTATCACGACGTTGAGTTCTACGTCCAGGACCAGCTCTGTTTCTAGCAGCAGCACGCTCAGTTCTGCGACAGAATCAAGCAGTAGCACTCGCACGAGCACCAGTAAGAGTAGCACGGCTTCGTCGAGCTCCACCACGGTATCCAGTTCCTCCACCTCTGCAAGCACTTCGACGTGGAGTTCCACCACTGACACCAGCACCGTAACGAGCAGCACGTCGGCGACCTCTACATCGGAAACCAGCACCACCTCGCTTACAAGCACTAGCGTCACCAGCAGCACGACGTCGAGCTCCGCGACTGGCACCAGCACCTTTACGAGCAGCACTTCGTTGAGCTCCACAACGGAAAGCAGCACCAGCTCCTTGTCAACCACTAGTGCTAGTAGCTCTGTGTCGATGAGCTCCATGACCGACACCAGCAGTGGTACTAGCAGCACCACGCTGAGCTCCACGACGGAAAGCACGAGCACCAGTGCCACAAGCAGCACTTCACTCAGCTCCGTCACCGACAGCAGCACCACCCTGACCTCCACCACACAATCCAGTACCACAGTATCTGCCACTAGTACAGGCACTAGTACAAACACGAGGAGCTCGACAACTGGAAGCACAACTACCTCGTTGACCAGCGTCAGTGCCAGTAGCTCTTCGTCTTCGAGCTCCGCGACTGACACCAGCACTAGTAGAAGCAGCACCACGCTGAGCTCCACAACCGAAAGCACAAGCTCGAGTGCTACAAGCATCACTTCAGTCAGCTCAACGGTATCTTCCAGCTCCAGTACCATTAGCACCATCTCGACCTCCGCGACGGACACGAGTTCTGCTACACTCACCACCACCTTGAGCTCCACAACTGGCACCAGCTCTGACACCAGCAGCACCACCGCGAGCACAAGCAAGACCAGCAGCACCACGTACACCGACACCACGACAGGCTCCAGCACGTCGACTGTGACCGTCACGAACACCAACACCAGCAGCACGACACTTACCCTGACAACCACGCCTTATACCACCACCGTCACCACCGCGACGTCGTTGACCCTCACGTCGTCGACCGCTACCTCGACGACCCTCACCTCGACCACGGACAGCAGCACCACTGGGACCAGCAGCACTACACCGCACACCACGACGATCACGTCGACCAGCACTACAGAGACTAGCTTGACAACCACGCTCACCAGCTCCACTATCACGAGCACCTTGACCAGTACCACAGGCAGCAGCACCTCGGAGACCAGCACTGTCACGACAGTCTCCACCAGCCTCACTTCCACAGTTACCACCTCCTCAACGACCTCGACTGTCACCACCACCGACACCTCCACCACTTCTATCACCTTGAGCGCCACCTCGTCGACGACTATCTCGACCACAATCTCTAACACTTCCACCACTACCGCCACTACGAGCGCCACCTCTTCGACGACTATCTCGACTTCGACCACTACGACCACGACCACCACCACAACAACCACTGAGGAGACATACCATGTGTCTGGGACGGTGATCTTTCAGGTTGGCAACGACACCAGCTTGACAGCGGGTCAAGTGGAATCTGCAACTTTGGCCGCTCTGCCAGATGTCCTGGGGGGTGAAGCAATGCGGGACCAGATTTCCGATGCTTTGTACGCTGTGGCCACATATTACAATTACTCTGTGACAAGAAGGTTGAGCAGTGGCACTGCGGCTGTGAACATCATCTGGACGGTGGAGTACACTGCTGAGCTCTACAGAACAGTCATGGAGGAGGTAGTGCGCAGTTCATCGGAACTGGCGATCAATAGCACCGCTTTCCTGACCGAGCTGTCAGATCAGCTGATTGCGGTGGCGAACCTGAGCAGCGATGCTGTCGCGTCCCTCGTGGTCGTCGGATTCGAAAGCGTGAGCGCGCTAGTCATCACGAAGACCGAGACAAGCACCCGAACCTCGTCCAGTTTCTCGAGTACGACGTCAGAAACTGCCACGTCATCGACAGCCACGTCGGCAACGACGACGACGACGACGGTCGATCCTCTGCAGTTGCTGAAGACGGATCTCACCTGGGCGTACACGACATTCGTGATGACATTCAACGCTGGCGTGGTGTTCCCCTATCCGGCATCTTCGGATTGCACGAGCATGTTCGCCACGGAGTCTTTCGATGCCCTCGGGCGGCCCACGGACTGCAGCTTCAACCGGGACCGCACCATCTTCCGCGCGGTGCTGGGCGCGTCTGCCACCGTGCTGCTTGGCGAAAACGTTTCCACGAGGCCGCTCACGCGGCTGGGCAACGGCGCGGTCATCTCGAAGGGCTTCACGTCCGTCGTGCACTCAACCGAGGCCCCGATCTCGGTGCAGGCGGTGCTGTCGTCCCTGCCGCAGGCCGCGCAGCCCTGCAACAACATCGTGTTCTCGAGCACCGCGTCGGGAGCCGCTGGCAGAGCGCTCGGGATCACCTGGCGCTTCGGGCCGGCGACACCCGCGGAGATGGTGCCGCCCCTGCTGCCGATCCTGCGGGCGGCGAACGCCTCCCAGAGCGCACTCGTGCGCTTCGGCGCGGCCGACTTCTACGCGGCCGCGCAGGCGGCGATGAACGCGTCTGGCTGGAGCTCGGGCTCGCCCGTGTTCCTGGAGCTGGTGGTCGAGGCCACCAGCTGGCTGGGGTCCACGTCGTCGGCGTCGGCCGCCGTGGAGGTCCTTCCGGAGGCGGAGCTGCTGCCGACGCTGACCCCCAACACGCCCGTGGTGCTGACGCCAGACTTTGAGAGGGAGCTGACGCTGTCTGTGTCGACGGGCTTCGTGTCGCCCTCGGTCTGCACCGGGCTGGCCTACTCCCGCCCGCCTCCGATGGCGCTGCGCTGGGAGATCTACGGCTTCGACGGCAACCTCACGTGGATCCCGCTGGGCGATGCGGCAGGGCTGACTGACCTGGCCCGCTCCAG